CACGGCTGTAACATCAAGCTACACTACAAAGTCCCTTCACTCGTTTTATAGAGTTTAAACAACTTTTTCGGACTTTTTATGTTTGAGTTTCTAATGTTCGTGTGATTTGGTGTGTCTTTCTGCCTGTCTCACTATTAATGTTAAACTGTCCTCATACCTTACAGGGTATATGTGTGGTGAATAACTTCAAAGGTGTCCACAGTGCAGCGACAAAACAGAAGACTGAGGAGTACCGCGGTCTGCCTCTGATGACTTTCCCCCGTGTGGAGAGCCCACTGGAGACCCTGAGCGCACAGGTAGCTAAAAACACTTAACCTGGAATCCCATAAACTTTAATCTCTATGATGCACATTATCTTTCTTCAATAATTGGCAGAACTCCCTCAAGGCCTACAGCTTAAAGCAAATTCCTCCCTTCAGATAAGGAATTCTGTAATTCTGGAACTTGGTGTCACTGTAATTTATTGCCATGTACTTTTTTTCTACTTTTTCATGCCCTTTTTAGAAGGTCCAAGTGAGGGTGGTGCATAAATCCAAAGATAATTTTTTGTTATCAATAAGTTATTTGGTTAAAAATGTACTCTCCTTCTTTCTCTTTCTTTCTATCTCCTTTCTTTCTTTGTTCACTAAGCAATGACACGTGGCAGGCTTGACGTTTGCACTTCACCCCTTTCCTCCTAACCAAATGCACAGAAACTTAACACAGAGCACTCTTGGCACCAGCTGACACGTGATTTCCTCTACCTTTTCATTTCCACGCTTTCTGTTTCCATCCACTTCATTTCTTTCTTTGTCTTTCTCTACCCCTGTCCCCTTTTTTTCCCCCATACTCCCTCCAACATCCATTTTCAGAACCACTCGGCATCGATGACAGAGGTCACATGACTAAGGGGGCAGCACCGGGTCACGTTTGCGTCTCCACAGCACTTCCAGACACAATGACGAGGACGCATGTCACGTGGCTCCGAATGCTTACAAAAACCACTCCTGATATATCTGTTTAAATCACCTGGGGGACAAAATACACCATGTTTGCAGTGGTTTTCATTTAGTTGGGCTATACTCAGTTCAACCTCCCAAGGCACACAGATCAGGCAACAATATCACAAATCGCAACATAAGCACAGATTGTTTTTCCAGGTTATTTGAGATCATTGAAACATGGGACATTTTTTTCCTCCAAGGTGTGCTGTTTGTAGTTAGAGGACGGTGTTTTGTACATTTTGTATGAGCGAGTGCCGTAGCCTATCCTGACGATGTTAAAACCTGCACACTTCCTGTCAGCTGACTCACTCTGTTTTACATCACATCCTGCCGGGTGAAATGCCTTGTCAATCACCACATGTACCCCACTCGGTAAGAAAAATCTGCTATGGAAAAAAAATATTGATGTTGTTGTTCTGTGGTGTTTGTCATTTGTACAGAAAAAAGACAGAATCCTTCTTTTTATTATCTCTGTACATTAACTGACCATGTCAGGTCATATTTTTTATGGATTTTTGTTAATATGTATGACTATTATGATCCATTTGGACCTGTTTGCCTGCTGTAAACCTGGATATGTTTTTGTATCAGTTGTTTGGGGAACAACTCCTCTCCCCTTAGGAGGAAATGGCAAGGATGAGTCACTGAAATGCTCAGAAAATGTGTTTTTGCACCTGTAGTGACATGTCATCAGGCTAAATATACAAAAATCTGATTGGCTTAAATGCATGGTATGAGTGTGCTTCACCCCAATTTGCAGATTTACTTTGATGTTAACAGGAAGCTCTCTATGGAGAGATCCAGAGGAGCTAGCCCATGCCAGATCCGTGTATAGATTATGCTGGTATGGTTTTCCAATTATATTTACTGAAATTCCAATGGAAGACATCCCTAATAAGTTCATGGCGAAAAATATAAGAGATTCGTTTCAACTGAAACTGAGTAATTTACTTGAGGCCTGGTTAGCCCTCCTCACTGAAAACCAGGCTAATGACTCCTGCTTCACTTTTCCTCCTCAAGGTACCCCTCCCTCTCCCCAACCCACCAGTGGATTGTGATGCAATGTTGTGATTCCATTTCCTATTGGAAGATATGCCCAGCATGAAGAGAGAAGTCAAGATGTTTTATAGATATTACTCATTATCATTGTGATTACAATTGTCTTTTACTTTGAGAACAAAAAAAGGCATTTCAGCTGAAATGCTACATATATTTTCTTTCTTTGTTTGTCCAAAAAAATTAAATAGTCAGTAGCAACAGTGTGTCCTCTTGTGTTTCTTTTTATGTACCCAAACGCTTCAATGAGAATGGTAACTTTATATTTACTTAGAAAATATGTGACCAACGACAAGGACAATCCATCTTGACAGTCAGTACTTGTAAGTTACCTTGATGCAAGAAGTGTGAAACGTGTCTGTCCTTGTGTTTGTCTGAATATCCAGAGATTTGTTTTCATTACTTACCATTTTTTCCCCCTGATTTGAGCCTTGCAGTGTCACTTCAGCTGCATACAAATCCTACCTCCTTTGCTGTGTCATCTGCATGCTAAAAATGCAGTCACATTATCCTTCCAGTCAACAAGTTTCTGATTATAGGCCAATGGATAAATGTTGATCTGAGCGATCACAGACTGTTGGACCATCCGCTGTGATGTGACGTAATATAATGTATGAAACTGGATGGGTACCCATTAGATTAATTAATTCTCCAATATCTAAACACTGTGCATCATCATTTCTATGAGAGTGTTACGTAGTCCTGAATGTTAAAAGTTGAGCCAGTGTTAACTCTTGATTTCATTTGAATAGTAAATAGATGGATTTTTATTTGCAAGATGGAAGTGTAATGCAGTTGGTCCTTAATCACTAAATGTCACTGGATTATTACAGGAACAGCCCAAGGACATATTGCATTCCTAGGTTGAAGAAAACTAAAACAGGTTTGTTATTCAAGGTGTTTGAGTCACAGGACAATTTCACTGAACAAACCTTCAGTTCAACCAAAATATTGCAACCATATGCAACAGACTTGCAATCGCATTGCCTTTGAAATGGTTGCTTTCTAGTTAAGCACTAGATCTGCAGCCACTTGCAGTCAGTTGCCATCTTCAAGGTGACTTTGGTATGTTAGGATGGCAATAAAACGACAATAAGACAGAGTCAGTCTACTATCAAAGCTGTCTGTGTTAATACAGTTAATAAACTGTGATAAATTGATGTAAATTGCAAATCTCTTGGTTTCTACATGCACAGAAATTCACATTAACAACTTAAAATCATAGACTTGAAATGTAGAAAATCAAACAGGCCTGTAACCAAAATATAACCTGTTGGCAACCCTGTGAGTCGAATAGTCTACTGGAGAGGAGTTGTGCTCATAGACATAGACAGACTGACTAAGATTGATTGATTGATAGGTTGATACGATTCTGATGAGAAAAAGCCACATATTTCCAGACATATTGAAATATGCTAATATTGACATGTTCACTCAAAGCCTAACATGTTAAACATAAAAGCAGCCAGTTATTCTAAAACAGAGTTGTAAGATTACTGCTTTTAGAGGATATGCATCCCTGGAAACTGAACTGTGAGCTGTTGCAATGATTTTTTGTTTTAGACCATCTGTTTTAACAGAGTGCGGCTACACCAATGACTTCATAGGCATGGTGTCAGTCAGCCTACAGTTGACTGTGAGTGTATGCTCAGTAAATGTAAACATTAATTAATCTGGCAGTCAGTGTTTAAATCGAGCAGTCAACCCTGACACCATGACCCTAAATTTTGAGTTTAATAAAGAACGTGTACGAGTACACCTTAAGGGTTGTTTTTGAATGAAAAGTTAAGTAAAACGAATGCCGATGACTGAAATTTGAGTCTGATCCTTCATATTGTTGCTTTGGGGGTGAAGCCAAAAGAAAAACAGGATGTTTAAGTGAACCTGTGTTTACACAGGCACTCAAAAAAGAAAAACAACCATGAATATGACTTTATTCTTCTTTCATGTTATAACTTGTGACAGGCAGCCCTTCTTTTCCCTCACACCACACCCCTGTCCAGCTGCTACCTGTACTACCTAGAAAAGTGATTAAAATGAGCATAGTTGTGCTAAAACCAGGTTATTTAGCTTCTCTAGTGATTCATCCTGTCACAGCCGCGTCGACTTCACTGATGTTTATGTCATAGCTAAGCAAGGCGTACACGCACAGAGACACAAAGAAAGCTGACGGCTCAGTCTGTGCACTTGCTCTTTTGCTCTGTCAGGTATTCATTTCAGCTGTGACAGCCTGCGCTTACCCTGCAGACACACTGGCTAAATAGATAGGAGCTGTTTGTGTTTGTGTGTGCGGCGGTATTTTACCATGCCGCGTCTTCGTAAAATGTCATCGTTAGCTGTTCTGAGTATGCCTTCCTGTCCAAATTGCTGTCCCTTAGCAATATGAGTGAAGAATAGCAACAACCAAATGTAGTTTTCAAGGTAGGGAACAAACCTCTGAGTGGTTTGAGTTTTTTAAATATATAGCTGCTGTACGTTTTTATAAAATAATCTATTAAAATGAGCTGAAATAAGTAACCACAGATGAATCTAAATGGTGAAGCTTTTATAAATACAAAAAAAAGTCTGGTTTGCAGTGGCTGTCAGCCATTGTTCTCAAGTGTCAATTCACACTTGTCTCTCTTACCAAAGCTGGGGACTCATAAGTGCAAGGAAATGCCTTAAATCCTCTTAAAATCATTGAGCTTTTGGTCTTCCTTTGAGTCACTTGGCAGTAAATCCACTTTGCTGCCAGATATAAATGAGATTAAGGATTCTAAAAAAACCTGTTTGAAATAAGTTGTTTTGCAACGAGCAGCGTCAAGGTTTTGGAGGCATAATAACTTAAAACCAAGGTTGAGCCTCAGAATCTTAGCATGCCACACTCTGCTTTCTAATTTGTACAGGAAATCATTTACAGACCTGTAAAATTTAACATTTTTAAGACACTGGGGAAAAAAAAAAGAAATGCCGCAACTAAGATAAGTGCAAAGAAGATATTTAATAACAGAACATGTCCAAACCCAAAGAGAAATGATGCAAGAAAACAGGGCCCCAGAGAGGGAACTGTTGTGTTGTGTTCATTTTTGAATGCAAATCACATTTAATAATGTGTCAGAGTTAAACTAGTGGTCTGTGTTCATACAGTTACCATTTAACAGCTGGCTTAAAGGAGGAACTGAAAAGTGTGTATTTTGTGTCACAATGTTACAAGAGCACCAGTATGACCTCAAGAGCCTGGACAGAAAGGTTTTGTTTTGGGTCCCTGACCGCGGAAAAAGCTGGAGACTGTTCAATTTAATCCTGTTTTAGGTTTTATGTTGCCAGCTTGCCATTGTTGTGATCTCACTGTGAAATACTTCTATACCCTAACTCAAACTCTGACAAGTTAAGGTGACTTTGTTTATTCAGTGTGCATCAGTGAAGTGCAGGACATTATACAGTGAACCATAAATAAGATTGTGTGTACGCTTATTATAATCCACCATGAGATGTCAACCTGGTGTTCATTACGTATGTAAATGTGTCTTGCGAAAGCTTTATCTTTTTAAAAAAATGATTACATCTAACCACCCCACCGACCCTTTCAAAAGCTTATTAGAGAAAAAATACCCCTAATCAATACAAACATGCTACCAAAGGCAAGAAACATCAATGGTAATAGCTGAAAGATACAAGGTTTCAGCAAGACACACAAACATGAAGACTTAGATGACTGGGTTCAACCTCAGGTCATTTGAAATCCTCAGTGAGTCTTAAAAGACTCAGGTGAATTAGTCTATTAAGCTTAAATACCAAAGAGTCCTCATATCTGTGATCAGGCTTAATGTCATAGCAAGCAAATCTGTACCCTTGGAAAAATGAGGTTTTAGGAGGGGAGGCATGGCAGGGACAAAAGGAAGAAATAAACAGGAAAAAGGTAAAAGAACCAGATAGGCATGAAAAGGAGTTAAAGAAAATGGCAATATAAGGGAAGTTGAGAGGGGGAAGGAATTGCAAAGCTCTTCAGTGATACAACAGAACAGATTTGGTTCAAGATCCCTGCTTCACCCTTATCCAGCACCTCTCATCTAATTCAATCTCATGTTCCAGGAGTGAGAAAATGTCCTACTTGGAATTGCAGAGCAGGATCTGATCACTGCTGAACATTTCAGTGGAGTGTTGAGGGGAGCTCCAGAGCCATAAGGAGGATCCTGCCATTGGAAATCGGGGAGGGTTCTAACTTCAGAACTCAGGCAAGGATTTGTTCCGGGACCCAGCTGAGGTTTTGAAAACTAGTCCAGTGTGTTAACCAGGGTTTTCTTTCCTGGACAAATTGGGACTGGCTTCACAACTCCGGACATGTGTTTTTGTGTTGTTTAATCTGCTGGTGGGTCTGGGTATACTGAACAAACTGGTTAGACTGGTGTGAAGTGGGCTGACTGGGTGCAGTCTGGTTTGCTTGCTGGTTTTCTGATTGGTACTGTTCAAGCTCTCTCTTCCTCCTCATGGCAGACTGCAGCTGCTGCTTGATTACAAGGATTTGACTCTCCAGTTCTGACAGTTCTTGAACCAGCGGGTTCCGTCCCACACCCAGACCTGGACCGCAGTCGCCCACTCCCAAAGCACGGCACTGCCCAGAACCGCCCTGCCCTGGCCCCAGTCCTTGGTCCAAACCCCTTCCTAACAGGTCAGAGCGACCATTAGAGGTAGTTACTATAGGCAGGGGTTTCTCCAGCAGAGGGAGAGAGTGGGGATGAGGGAGGGGAGAAGGGGGCGGTGGAGGAGGGAAATCCTGGGATGACGGGCGTTCCAGGTCATTTTGCATCTCTTGTGGAAGGATCCTTCGCCTGTTACAGTGGGACGACTCTGGAGGATTCCAAGGCGTAGACTGGTTGTTTCCCTCATTGCACCTGGAAATAGGAGAAACCTTCATCAGTTCATCTGACTGCATGTTTGCAGTACAATATAAAGCGCCTTGAGGCGACTTTTGTTGTCATTTGGCGCTATATAAATAAAATTGAATTGAATTGAAATGTTTCCATTCCGAATCCAATATAAAATCAAGGCATCAGCTATGGCTAAACCATGAGTTGCCACTGCACACACAATTCTGAACGTGTTATATGACAAACTGCAATTTACACAGAGCTGGGCTGAAAGAGATGAACAATTTCTAGAAGATTGCTTACGGGGGTAAAGAGTGGAAATGATTGTTATGGGGGTTACATTGAGTCTTGGAAGAATAGCAGTGTGACTGCTTACCAAGAAATAGTTTTTCGCTTTTCCTTAAATATGTCATTACATGAAAAGGGTGTTCTTTGGGTATTGTCCTGTTTATTGTTTATATTGTCTACACAAGCACCACGTTCTTAGGGATGACTTATGGCTCTGCTGGCTGATCAGTAGACAACATTTAAATATCATTTTTGAATCATCATGAAACTTTGGACATTAGTTGAATCCTACTGACTGTGGTATTCGAGTAAGAGACATTGCTTTTATTCTTGAGATAGCACCTTTCTACTCTACCTGAGCAGTCAAAGCGTTTTACACAACTTGCCTCATCCACTCATAGCACTTTTTTTTTTCAATGAATTTTTCTACGTAAGTGCTTTTTTATCTAGCATTCAAACACATCGTTCCTCTGATGAATGCATTGGAGAGCAACTTGCAGTTAGTATCTTGCTCAAGGATCCTTGGCATGCAGTACTACAAGAGTGTGAGTATGGTAATATACTGATGTTTTTTCTAACAGGCAGACAAAATCTTCTCATTTGGTGCATAAAAGATAATCGGGTTTTTTTTTGTTACTTAATTTTTAATAAAGCTTTTACATATTTTTTTTTTACAACAGAAAATGAACACAACAAACAAACAAAAACAACAGTAACAAAACAAGCAGTCAACTGAAAAACACAGGTTTTCCCTTCAAAGCAATTCTGGCAGTGAGAACATGACTTTATATTCATGAATTGACAACACATCTACAGATGTAAGAGCAGCCTCGGTGAGGCATACAGAAGTTTATATAGATGTGAGTAGGCACAAACAGGAATTAAAAAAGAATAAATCCCATTCTAATTTCGGATAGATTTCAACCACTTGTCCCATCTTGTGGTATAAATATTAGCTTGCAACCTTAACAAAAAGGTAAGTTTTTCCATTTTATGAATCTCCTCAACAACGCCCAACCAGTCGTCCAGAACAGGGGGGTCAGTACAGAGCCACTTACGAGTAATTGCTTTTTTTGCAGCAGCAGTGAGAATCTTCAGGAGATATTTGTTATTGCTTGTTAATTCTTCGGGTAAGTCTCCTAAATAAAATGTTATGATGGGCCGTTGTTTTGATTTAAAACCTATAGTCTGTTCTATCTTTGATATAACATCTTCCCAAAATTTAGAAAGTTTTCGACAAGACCAGAATATGTGGGTATGGTTTGCAACAGTTTCTCCACAGCTCCTCCAGAATGTTTGTTGTTTTGGTGTTATGAAAAGTCGTACCAAGTTTTTCCAACTAAATTCTCGCCAGTATGCAGAAGATGAGGTTGAAGTAGCAGTCTCACACATATTGTCCCATTGCTCAGAAGTTATAACTGAGGACAACTCTCTCTCCCATCGTTCCTTTATATAATCTGTTGAAGTTCCCCTACTTTTTAATATGCCCTGGTAGAGTTTAAACATAACTGGCTTACATCCCTTAAAGTATGTTTGCAAAATCAGATTAATTATTTCATTAGGTTGTGTATTAATTTCTTTAGTCACTTTTGAGGACAAATATTGCCATAATTGTAGGTATATGAAAAAGTCACTTTTTCATAGCTCGTATTTTTTTTGTAATGTTTGAAAACTTTGAAGGCCATTCTTATCCATTATTTTACAGTATGCATCAATAACTTTATGTGACCAGTTCTTAAATTGTAAATCCAGTTGGTTTGGTTTAAACTCAGTCATAAGCCACCCACTTAAGTACTTGAATGTGGTTCCTTAGATTTAGTTCTTTTCCTAACTCAAACCAGATAAGCAATGTAAAAGATGCCAAGGGGTTCAGTTCTTTCTGACAAGCTGTTGCCAGTTTCTAATCTCCTATCAGGGCTTGTATTGGAATGACCCCACACATATTCTCAGTGTCTTTCCATCGGCCCCACAAGTATCATCACACCATTGTATAACTATTTTGAGTTGAGCAGCAAGGTAGTAATCTCAGAGACTTGGGAGGGAAAAGCCGCCTTTATCTTTATGAATTAATAATGTGCTATATTTAATTCTAGGTTTCCGCCCGCTCCAAATAAATCAAGATATTTGTTTGTCCCAGTCATGGAACTGAGATTTGGGGATTTTGATAGGTAGAGATATAAACAGATACAGTAGTCTAGGTAGGACTAAAAGATAATAGATTTTTAAAGTGATTCTGAAGTATTTCAGGTCATTCCAGGTAATGAGGACCAAACCCTCCTCATTTAATTGCTTTTTGCCTCCCTAAGGAAATGCTATCCTGTTAAGCCGCTTGGTAAAATGAAACAAAACTAAACAATTTCTTTTAAAGAAAAGCTGTGGGTGGATATTAGCTTGGCTTACAGACTTGCCAGTATATAAAGACACCTTGACTAACTAGCAGCCAGATGCTGCAGATCAAATGCACTTGATTATCTGACCAATAGCAAGTGTGACCACCACTAGTTTGATTCAGTTGAGCATTCAGGCGTGTTGCCACAGTCTTCCCAGGATGGGCGCTACAGCAAATTCACCCCAAGTCATACCTTCAAATGTTCATGTTCATGTATATCTTAATGTCAGTATGACAGTACAGTAAGAATAAAAAAACAAGTAAGTAAGAGGTTGATTGAAAGTGTTGCTCGGAAGAAACCTCCACAGGACCTCTGCACCTTTCAGTTATTGAGTTTATCATGAGCTCCTCAGTATACCAAAGCACTCCAGAGTCAAATGTGAGACCATCTGTACCACAGCTACTGGGCCAGGCCATTGCAACTGGGTGTTGCAATGGCCTGGTCAAAGTCCTGACAAAGTCCAGGCAGCTGTGTGAACCTGCAAACCTCAATGAACTGAAGAGACTCTGTCAAGAAGAGTGGGCCAAAAGTCCCCTATGTGATAGACTGATAAAGTCATACAGAAAATGAAAGCTTCAAGTTATTGCTGCTAAAGGTGGCTCTACAAGGTCATGCAGTGGACTTTTTCCACATAACTGTAGTAACAAAGATCCTCTAGCAGGTAATCCACCAAATGGATGATCTGAGTAATAAGTACTGGACCATTTCCCAGTTACATTTGTGTTCTACTTGTAGTCCAAGTTCTATGGACCATTTAAAACGCTGCTGAATGCAAGTAAAACATCCATGTGGAGGGCATAAAAAGGGAATGCATTTGCCAAACTGCGATCTCAAAAGTATTGGTTATCTTCCCACAATGACAGTTTGTTATTAGCTTTTTTTAAAAAAGCCCTACATCTGTACATTCATTGTTGTCCCCAAAGGCTAGGCCATCAAAAAACAGCCGGTGGGTCTCCAGATTGCTTTGTTTTTGGAATTTCTTAAAGTACATCTCATTATCTGACTGACTGGCTGAATGGTTATATTGCCAATTCAGTTTTGTCAGAACTTTGAACCTGGTGTTAAAGTTTGAAAAACCACAGGAATAGCAGCAACTCGCCAAATAATATTTGACAGATGCTTGGATTCAGTCGTATGCACAAGTTTTTTAATGAATAGGCTATCGCCACATGTAGGTACTGAACACAAAAAAAGAAGACATTGCCAGAGCTCAATATAGAAGTCAAATTCATGTCCAATTAATTTCCTCTACCACCAGCCCTGATCCCCAAAACCTTTCCTATCCAACCCCAGGTCCACTGTGATCTTTGCCCTAACAAGCACTAGCAGCAGTAATGTGGACTGAAGGTCCAGAGAGACATTACTTTGACACAACACCACAGATTTCATGTTCATTTGCACCTTTAACATGTATTACCTTAAAAAACCTCTCTTTTCCTCCCTCCCCCCTTTTGCTGTCCTCCATTCTTAGTAGCACTATGATCCTTAATCATTGTCCAATGTACATCATTCCTCTTGCCTTTTAAAAATCATTTAATATCACGTAACATGCAATGTAGAAGGATAACAAACAAGAAAATATAAATTCACAATTCAAAGAGGTTTGACTAGCACTTCAAAGCTACACAACCTCTGAAGAACATGTAACTGTAGTTCACCTTGGTGATATGTCAATTTCTTTGATTGTACTGACTATGAAAATAAACCCATGTTAAAAAAGATTAAAAAAGGCATGTAAAAAAACACAGCAAGAACTTAATAGGAAGAAGATATAAATAAAGGCATTTACACTACATAAAGGAGAAGTTGAGAAGATGAGTGTTCTGTTATCACTGGAGAAAATACCACTGTGTCCTTGCTTTTATGCTTCACCAACCATGGAAATGTTTGCTAGAGGCTGATGTTGCCCTTATCATTGATTTTGTATATTTAGCTATTATTCCATTGTTTTGTTTGGTTAGTATATAATAAGCTTCATTTATTTCTTCATTGTCTACAATTGATTTATTAAAGATTACGAGCTGTTTGGTTAAGTTAGAGAATTAAAAGCCAAGGGAAATATTCAGTGTTACAATTAAAAGAAACACACAAATTTTGTAAAATATGCACTTAACAAAATTATATTTATGATTCAAAGTATGAAAAGTGAAGTTAAGAAAACATATTTTATGTATACAAACTGTAGACCATAATAAAAATACCTCAGATTGTCTTAACTGTCTGCTCTTTATTACTGAAGATGAAAATACAACTTTAAAGTATATTAAGGACCAATATACCATAAAACATATTCCCTTTAACTCCAATGTTTGCTGTAGGCCTTACTGAACTTGAAGTCTAACAAGAGAACAAAATTTCTTTTCTTTTCCTTTCCAAAAAGAAACTTTTTAAAATCTACTGGACCACCTCTGCAAGCTGAAAAAAAACTAACATGATTTTATTAAAGCAGTGAAGATGAGATACTCTCATCACACAAAGTAAAGCCTAACAGACGAGCTCTTTGAATCAAAGGAATTTTCACTTGGCGATAAAAAAAAGTAACAAGGAGAATTTAATCTGATACTCCAGACATCAAAAGAGACTGTAAGCTAAAGCTGACACACAACATGAAAAGAGTTGTTTTTAATTTTATTAAATTCATATGTGCATCTTTTTGACAGGAGGACACCTGCACTTGTGTCTGCAGTAAAAGAGGGAACATTTTGAAGTCTTGAGATAATCATGGAAGTTTCAGCATTTACAAATGTAACCAGTAGGAAGTTCTTCAACTATTCTATAACTATTACATTCTATACAGGTCAAATTTGACTAATTTTGATGTTTGAAATAAGTAAAAATAAAATAAATTTCATCCTTTAAACCAGTCTTTTTCCAAAGTGACCCAAAATACACAAAAAATTTAATATTTTAATTTTTCATACTGTTTTACAGATGTTAAAAATTTGTGTACACTGCTCAAAAAAGAACACCTTAAAAACAATGAAAATTATGCTGCATATTCTGATATTGACTAATGCATTAACATTATATTATTGTTGATTTAATATTTAAAATTAGCTTTTTTTTTTATCTTATAGCATTAAGCACAGTGTTTAACATGGTTATATGATAGACCCCATAAAAAGTAGATAAAATATATTTGAATCGTCACAACTGTTATCTTTTTATCTTTTGGTAATACAAGAAATTATGTTACGTGAAAAAAGATGTATGTATGCATATCAATTTATATATATTTCCAATTTCGGTTTAAACACTTATTATGAAGGAATTCTGGGCCAGATCAAAATGGAACTGGAGCATACTGTGAAGGCAGGAAATATGACCAGTATGTAAGGCTGAACGAAGTGAGATATTCACAGGTAGGTCCCTGGTGTGGTTGAGAACATTTAGATTTAAAGAAATAGAGATATGAGGTCTTTGCACTGTCAGCACTAAAGCATTTGTGGAAAACTAAGGCTTTTAAGCCGAAGGTGAAATAAAAGGAGTCAGTTTTTAGACTTGTATACTTTAATGTTAACTGACATATATTATCCTTCTTTTCTGATTATATTATTGATTATTTATTGTTTGTTTTAAAGCACTTCCACTGCTCTGAAAAGTGTGAGATAAAGATGATTCTTTTTCATTAGTATTCTACAGCATTTCCTCCTTTCGCATTAACTAAAAAGCTGGATTCCTTCATTGTTTATCCATCCATCTAAGCAATTTTCCTTGATTTGGTATTCAGGGTGTTAACTCCGAGAGCAGCTCCTTCATCTTTTATGAATTGGTACAATGATTGAAACCATTTCAATGGAAAATATATGAACACAGACTTTACTTTTATTGCCCTTGTAGAAATTACCACCATGCAGTGACCCACAAAATATAATGCTTATCAAGGTCAGAAAGAAAAATGTGCAACATAATGTGTGCAACTTTGTCACACTGAAGTCATGCCAAAATTTGAATCATTATTTTTCTGCAACATTAGAACGTGTTCTTCACATAGCACACATTTTTATTTATTTTCTCCAGCCCGAGACAACTTTTCCTCTATAGTAATGTACTGGATCTATGTTTTAAAATCAAGATATATGTATAGAAAGACTGTTGTTTCCATGTGTAGTTATTTAAGTTTTGGAAAGTTGCTCACCTTCGGTTTTGGAGTGTTATGTTCCGGTTCAAGTCATTTCCTGCTATATTTTGTAATCATTAGTCTTTGTGTATTCTAATCAGTTTTACTTCCTCCCTTTAGTAGTTTTCCCATCCTTGATAATTATAATCTATAACCTGATTAATCTGACCGGCGTTGCTTTCTACATCCATTCCCAAACTACCAATTACTCTTTTGTGTCCAATTACTTAATCACTCACCCCAGTATATATACACCCATTTGTTCTCCCATATTGTCTTGTTACTATTACTCTAGTGATTTTTTTTCCTGTACCTTTTTTTCTGGAGTTCCTGGTGTTTTTATTCGTTTTTAGTCTCTGGTTTCCTCTTGTATGATATTTTGTCATGTTTTTGAATTTTGCATTTTGCCTGCCCTATGTCTGCATTACTTGTGCTTCAATGCTGCCTTTCTGTGTATTACCACTGGTTGGATTAAAGGTTAGATTTTTGGTCCTCCTCCAGTAAAATTCTCACAACCCTTCCAACATATATGAAAAGCCAAAAGCAGAAAGATTCAAAGAATCATCAATGATAACTGACATTAAGTGACACATTACATAAAAAAGAAGCTGGGGTAGAGGTTGGTTACAAAGCAGCTTGAAGTATGAAGTTAAAATTACCTAAACAGCACGCCCTGCAAGAGATTTGCCAAATGCATATGACTGAACTATTAGCTTGATTTTTGTTTCCAGCCTGAACTAAAGATGCACTCGATTTGAATTATATTCTTTATATGAGAATTCCACATATTCCATCTAAGCACATGGCAGCCATGGCATGAATCATACCTGCATTTTAAATTTTCCTAAATGAGACAGTGGGATTAGAAAATGAAAACCCTACTCAGATAAAAACAAAATAAAATAAAATAATGCATATTAAATGGAAGGCCACAAAAAAAGAAAACTGTTAATAAAATAATATGAAATACAATGTTAAATAAGTGTACTGCTTATTAAAAAAAACCCAACTAATTTACGTAATTTTAGTATTAGGTATTAAAGAGACAGAACAATTCTCCACTATAGAGTATTGTAGCTGAATTGTAACTGATATCATTGGTGTATTCAGAGCGACAGATTATCCTATTTTAGCCTGGCTGTCAGTCATTGCCAGAGCTTCATGACCTTAACACTGTGCTTGATACCAAAGCATGCAATCTTAACTGGCCATCCGAGGATATTTCACGGTATTACAGACACTGCTGCTAATTATCTCACACAGACAGTGTTCTCTGCTGTCTGTGGGTTTTCCCACATCCTAGTTAACACACTTAGGAAATGAAATGTGCCATAGCTTCATCCTAAGTAGTAGTGATTTCCAATTTAATTTCCATCCATGTGTTCCATTTGGTCATCCTGTATAGTGATTTTCAGTACCATACAGTACAGACTAGGACTGATAATGATGCATTTTGGCATCGTTTCGCACAGTTTAATTCAAGCTGAAACTGTCTAGAGTATAAAATCCTGCACGGGAAGATCTGATTTCAGTGCTCTGATTGCACAAAAGACACTTTTGACACACAAGTTTTTCGGCAGAGCACTGACAATGAGACGGTAATAATTTCTGACTCTTAGACAGCATGCAGAATAACTTGATTGAATGAGTATAATTATGCAAGAGTAGGCAATCCATCCTCATTACCACAGGCATCCCTCACATGGCCTCGGCTCCATAATTATTAAGTGTATTTAATCCTTACTTTAAGTGCTCCACCTGAGTGTGCTCTCAGTGTGGAGTGAGTAGTAGATGTGAATGTGCAGGACAATCTTTCAAGTTGAATGTAATACTATAAAATTGAACTTTTATTTTGCAAGTAAATCCAAATCAAGAGAAAGGGTGGTGGTATGATTAGATGTGTGATGGTTAAATGTGAAGAGGGCAGGGCTACACTATGGCACACAGTATTAAAGTGTATGCAACTAATATGTACTAATATGTGGAATTAAATGGCCCCATGCAAAGGACACTGAAAGTGCCTACATAAAGACGCTTTCATGATTTACTGATTCTCCCTTTCTCACCCACTGTTTTCAACAATACCACGTGACGTCAGCGTGAGATTATTTTCTCAATTTCCCTCACTGATAATTGGCTTCCAACAGATTGACCTTTCTATTTAGTTTTTGATTAAAAATGGGTCCCTTAACTTCCATTTGGATGTTAATTGATGTCACTTACTGTTCAGCTTATAATTTGGCCAATGCACCATTTAACTTTCAAATATTGGCTTCTTACAGGAACACCTTGTTTGCATTTTTAGTCTCAGTCAATGTGGTCTATTTAAGCACGCATCACATTTAGGAGCATTTTTCATCTTCGTTTGTAATATGTAACTATGTTATTGTGTTTAAAAATCCAAAGTGATGGGAAAATAAGCAGCATTTAATAAACAATTCTTACATCACACCTGCGAAAAACAGCAAAAATAACAAAAACTGGTGTAAAGTGTTTAAAATGGATCTGTTGCACCATATACTGAATTTTTGTAATGTGCCGATGAAGGTAACAATAAATGTTCCAAACAATTCATAAATAATTACAACACATATGTGCTCAGATCAGATTCAGATCAGTCACTTAGGGATGGATGTTTCATCAAGTATAGATGATGAAAGACCAAACTGAAATAATACAATGCCCACACTTTAAAGACAATAACAGTACCTCTTTTCAGGCTTTGTAATAGTCGGTAGTTTGTCATCTGTGAAGACTGAGTTGAGGGCCCGGTGTAATCTCTGGAAAACAAGCAACAACATGTGCTTACTGTAAATGATGTGTCTGAATTGACCATAAGCAGCAACAACAAAGCAAGAACAAAAAACAAATGCACAAAATTTGCAAAACCAGAAACTGTAGATAAAAATTATTCATTTTATAAATCTTAGTAGATTTTTCATAATTGCTTGCACAAACTATTTTTAAATTATAGTGTGACCACAGTCACGGTCACCACATGTGGGTTTGAGTGTGAGTCTGGTCCGTACCTGGCTTGTGTGTAGCCAGTATTTGAAGCGTGGCTCCTTGACCCTTGGGATCACCAGCTTGTACACAATGTGTTCCGCTATGGTGGTCAGCAAAGATAAAGCCACGCCCACACACAACATCACAAACAGACCAGAAAAATGCTTTATACCCATCTGCAGCGTCTGGAGAGAAAGAAATGAGACAATCAGTATATGATAGAGAAACTTGAGAAAGTGAAAAGGTGGGAAGGATAAAGGAGGTTATACAGGGAGTGTGTATACAGATATGCATATGGAGAAGTAGATATTTAAAAACAATCCATGAACAGTCAAGTGAAACAGATTGTTTTCGCAGGATGCTATGCAACGGTCTATAAAAGTAAAGGCTTTGGCAATTTACTGGTCTGGAGCATTCAGTTGTTTGTTAACACAATGACACAATCTTCCCATGAGTGGATGCCCCAGCAGAATTACCCAGAGGTCAGACCTTGCAAGCTCAGAGAAACTGCAAAAAACCTAGGAGCAATACCTCATATGTTACAGCCTCCAGTTAGCACATTAAATATTAAAGTTCATGACAGTATGATTTTTTTTTTTAAATGATCAAGTGTGTGTTTGGAAGTGTTGCAAGCCTCTTCTCTCTAAAAAGAACATGGTAGCACTGTTTATGTTTGCAAAACTGAATCTGAAGAAACCACAAGACGTCTGGATCAATGTCCTTTGAACAGATGAGACCAAAACAAAGATGTTTGGCAAAAAACAAACAAATCATATCGGCACAAACACCTCTGTCAAGCACAACACTTTAGTGATGATGATTTAGAGGTTGGTTTTGCAGCCACAGGACCCCTGCACCAAACTATTCTAGAGCCAAATGCTAGGCAATCTGATGAACTGCTGAAGCTTCACTTCGGTCATGCAACAGGGCAATGATCTCAGTACAATGAAGCATAGAACATTGAGAATCAAGGTGTTGCAATGACCCAGTATGTCACACAACAGTGTGAGGGCATTACAAAGTCATACAGAAAACAAGTACTTTAAGTTATTCCTGCTAAAGATGGTTTTATAAGTAACTGAATCTGTAATTTAGGGTGTAGTTAGATTTTCACAGGACTGCATAAAGTCCTCTTATTCACATGACAGTAAATGACTTTAAGCTTTATACTTATATCTTGAAATTCTCATTGTCTAATTATTTGAGACACACAATGCAATAAATAATATATTAAATGTATTGCTTACATGTCATTCATATGGATTATTAGCTTATTTTGCTCATAAAAAAAAACTGAGGGCAAAATTAAGGCGATAGCCTCCAAATATCATTACGAAGTCAGTCACAAGTAAAAATTGCTTGTTTCATTTAAATAAAAACAGAATAATTTTTCAGAGGATTGGAAATCTGAAGTAAGACCACCTTGCATTTACAAACTCAGGGCAAACACGTCATGAAATTAATTTCAAATCTCTTGGAACAAGTTTTCTCATTGTTCTGAAATATAAGAGAATCCCTCTGGGATATCACACTTTCGATCGAGATTGTGATTGCCTCCTTCACATCTTAATTTACACTCGTTCTGTTCTAAATGTGTCCATATTATTGTGCGAGTCTGTACATGTAGCCATCTACAAATGTGATATAACACTTTGCTTAACTGACCACTTGTTGCAGTTACTGCAGTTACGTATATTCCCATAAGAATCTTTTTAGTGCTGAGTGTGCAATAGCTTTTTGATACCGGGGCAGCTGCAGTGATTACATTATAAAGTCATGTTGGTGAAGAATACACGATGGATTAAATTTATCAATGCATTTTTGTGACTTGGCACGCTAGCAGTAATGAAATTTTGGAGGATGGAAGATAATGATTCATGAGAAGTTGTTGAATAAAGAGAATAGTAACCTTTGGCTGTGCTGGCATACATTTTAAACTCTATAGAAATCCATTGGGATAGGGGAAAAAACTACTGCGGTATCCTTCAAAGTCAAGATGAGCTCACTGTATATATGTGACATTAATCTGATCTAAGGCTACGTTCACACTGCAGGTCTTAATGCTCAATTCCAATTTTTTGATCAAATCCGATTTTTTTTGTCTGGTAGTTCATACTACAAAGGAAACGTGACAGCAAACGTGCTCTAGTGTGAACGGTTCACGGCCCTCAAAGCGGCCCGCATGCGCAAAAGAAGATGTCACACACAACGCGTTCTGTTTGCGGAAGTAAAAATGGCGGCTACAGAGCTAGTAGATGTTGTTGCAGCAGTCTATCAATTCCTGCACAGTCATAACCCACAGAATTTTGAGAAATTAATTAGAGAGAGAAGGACACTGAGAAAAAAAGAGAGCCCATGCTTTAACAATGGCCGCCATGCTTTCTCGTTTGTTTTCTCTGGCGCTGATAATTGGCATCTGTCTTGTGTCAGTGACGTAAAAGACGAATTTAATGCGACATGACCATTTAAACAGCAGTCGCTTTCTAAAACATCAGATATGTATCGGATTCAGTACCACATACGAAAGTGACCCAGATCGGATTTGAAAATATC